ACCCTTACGGGGACATCACTGCCTGAAAGTGATTATGCTCATGACATAGGGAAGGAAACAAAGACAAGACATTTCACAAAAATTAAAAGTCACTAAAAAACTAGAAGGGAGAGGGGGCGCCTGGCTGGCTCAGTTGGAAGAGCATGCAACTCTTGGTCTTGGAGGAGTGAGTTCAAGCCCCATGTTGGGTGTAGAGTATACTTTTTAAAAAAAGGCAAAAGAGAGAAACCTGATCTCTGTCAATACATTTATTGAGTATTCACAATGCTAATAGGCGCTATACTCATATGATCTCGTTTTACCCTCAAAACAACCCAATAGGTGGTAAAACTGGTCAAATTCTCCCCTTCCATCAATTCCTCCACCCCTTGGATCTGGCCGTGGGACTTTCTCCAAATAGCTTGGGCATTGGATTTACTGTCTTGTGGCTCTTAGAAACCCTGTGACCATCACCACGTGAGCAAGCCCAGGTTAGCCTGCTGGATGATGAGACGCGTGGCCCTATTACCAGTTCCCACAGTCAACGGCTGGCCCCAAGTGCCTGAACGAGCCCAGGCAGGACCAGCAGGCCCTTGACTGAACCCCAGCCCAAAGTGCCCATCCACTGACTCATGAGCAAAGTAGAGGGTTGTGCTTTTAAGCCACTACATTTGGGGTTTGCAACTCAGCAGGAAGTGGGTGACACAACAGTCCCATGCTGCATCACGATCACCACCACGTTATGCTTGAGGAAACTAGGATTCAAGAAAGTGATCACGTAGGATCACGTAGCTACAAGGTGGAGAGGCTGAGATGCCACCCCAGGTCTGCCTTACTCCAAATCCCACGCTCATCATTCAGCCACACTCTGTCTAGCCAAAAACAGGGCACTGGGGTTCCTCCTGGGGGCCTGGCCATGGAGCTTGGTACTCAGCCCTCTGTCATTCCCAGAAGGGCTGGGTCTCCACCAGGACCCAGGCAAGGTCTGTAGGGGAATGGCTCTGAACAATCAGATCAGCTCCTTGAAAAATAGCCACTAATACCTACTGAGGGCCAGGACATGCTCTAAGCACCTGACTGCCAGGAATTCTTTAATTCTAAAAACATCCCTGTGTGTTCAATACTTTACCGTTTCACAGATGAGAAAGCTGAGGTACAGAGGGGTTAGGTAACCTGCCCACTGTTGCATAGCCAATGAGTGATAGAGCCCAGGAAACCCCAGGTTGCTCCAGAGTTGTCGGGAGATGAAGCAGTTAGGAAAACAGGGAGACCTTTGCTTCCTGCCCCCCGCAGCACCCTCCCACCAGAACACTGGGGTCAGAGGCCTTGCCTACCCTGTTCACTGGGTCTTGTTCGTACAGGTGCATGAACAAGGGCAGAAGCTCAGTGATACTTTACCAAAGAAAGGATAAGAGTGGCAAGGACCTCTCCATGAGGCTGCCTGCTTCCAGGCTGCTTGGACCCCCTGTTGGGGATTTTGAAGGTGCCCTCCAGCATCCTGGCATGAGTTTGGCCCCTGGGGGTGAGGGTTGGCAATCCAAAACCATGAGACCACTTGCCAAAAGCCATGGCCCGGCTCGTCACATTACCCAACACTTGCATTCACTGAGAAGTTTATACAGAGATTTCAAATCTACCATCGTCCCATTTCACAGATGAAATAAGCGAGGCTCAGAGAGATCTCACATCTGTGATGTCAGTACTCATCCTTCAAGGTCTTGAAAGTGTGGTATCAGCTTCCCACCACCGACATGGCCCACTCGTCCATCAGGACACTCCACACTGCACACATAAGCCCCCCACATCTCACTCCTCAGCCAATAGGTCTGCTGGCCCCCGTGAGTTCTCCGGGAGCAGCAAGGAGGTCTTGTCTGCCTCTGTCATGCATGCGGGCACAGGGCAGCCACACAGCATGGCTCAGAGGCCGGTGTAGCTGAGCTATGTCCCTATTCAAAATGTACCATCAAGTACTGCAATGGGGAGTTTGGGACGCCTGGCTGGATTGCTCTCCTGTCTCCAAGGGAGACTGTTTTATGCCTTCTGCCCTCTCCTCAAACACCCCCTCATGTTGGCATGCAATATTGGGGCACAGAGAGTCCTTCAGTCCTTACAGTGCTGAGCACACCTGCTCTGCTGCAATTGTCAACACCTGCACGCTGCCCAGGAGCCTTCCAGTGTCCATGCTAGTGCCCCTTGGAGGAGCCTAACTGTCAGGAGTTGGTGTATAAATACCCCAGCTCCCTCGACCCTCGGTGGTTAACAGCCTCAGGTTGTCGCTTTAACAAAGTCACTTCAATCCTCCCTGCCTATCCTCCCACCTGCTCCTCCTTCTGTCTAGAGACTGTAGAGGAGACAGGCCCTCCTTTCGCCTAAAACCCATCCACTCTCACCTTCTTTAGGACTTCACACCAGAGACGGCCCGGCTCTGGCATGGACCACCTGCCCCTATCGGCTGGGTAGTTCCAGGCAGCATACAAATGGACTCTGGCATCTCCCATCTTAATAGAAAAGCAACTTTCACATGATTTGCCTGATAGCACAATAAATAAAAACCACAAAGACACTTTAGAAGGTTAAAAACATCACACACGTATAATGCATCTTTATTTGTAGTGAGTGTCAAAGCGATGTGGTATCTTTGTGTTCCTGAAAACACTTTATCCTCTGAAGATTCATGATTGTTTTTCCTGCAATCATGTTTATGCTACCACAGTCAACAATCTTTGCTTTGTAGAAAATATGAGGGTTAGATTTAACCTGGCCTCAATTTGAATCATCATAAATTCTGAGTGAACTCTCAAAAAAAAAAAAAAAAAAAAGCTTCCTGTTACAGAATGCTTCTCATTTGATCTGAAGGAGCCAAAATCTTGGATTGTACCTAAAAACATTTAACCCCATGCCTCGTATCTTTTGGCTACTCAATTTCACCTCCCAAGCCTGGTCTCTCTCCCCTGCACCAAGCCGTGGGGTGGGGCAGAGGGCTGATGGCAAGTTAGGGCAAGATCAACCCCAAGAAACCCCAGGTAGGTAATGTCTTTAGTACAAGTTGTCTTTGCCTTTTTAAACACATTTTTTATGTGTTAAAATATACATAACACAAAATTGACCATCATAGCCACTTTAAAGTATACGACTCAGTGGCATTAAATACATTCACGATGCCGTGCGTCCAGCTTTATCTGACTGCAAAGGATACACAAACATTTATTGTAGAATATCCAACCGGACAAATACAGAGAAGCCCAAAGAAGACAGTAGAAATCACTCCCACTCAGAAATAATCAATTATTGCTTTGACTTTTTTATTCCAGCCTCTTATTTATTATCCATAATTTTAAAATTAAAAAAAAAGGACATCTTACTCTGTTCTTGCTGCATAATCCCCCTTTTCTCCTATCAGAATATTGTGACTACTTTCCAGTAAAATAGATCACTGGGTTTCTTTTTATTGTGGTACATATACACAACATAAAATTTACCATTTCAACCGCTTTTAAGTGTTCAGTTCAGAGGCAGTAAGTACATTCGCTTTGTTATGCAACCATCACTACCATCCATCTCCCGAACCTGCTTATCCTCCCAACTGAAGCTCTGTACCCGCTAAACACCAACTCCCCATTCCCCTCTCCCCTCGCCCCCAGCCCCCAGAAGTAAAAGTTGCCTTTAACTTTGGAAAATATCCCTTACAAGGATAAGGAGGTTCTCCGCTCCATCAGCACAGATAATTGGGAATGTGCCTTAAGCACAAAGACACACTGGTTTTCATTCATTCTGGAAAATGCAGCAAACAGCACAGAGCCGGGCTCAGCGGGATCCTTTGGGGCTAAAGAATCAATGGCCTCTTTCTCAAAGATGCCAGGCATTCCCTGCTCATTACCATGGAGAAAGACAAAGGGGAGAAAGTTTTCTCTGTTCTCTATAAACTTCCTCCATCCTCACGCTAAATTACTTTTGGGGCTTTAACAAAAATATAGTTGGGAAAAGGCCAAGGTATAAAACATGTTAATGATTGAGTTTGATTAGGGGTCCTAATTATGCAATGATGGGCACTCACAGTATGCGCAATGGAGTCGCACTAATTGCCTAGTAATGATCTCCGTGGGGTGTGCACACCTTGGACAGGGCTGTGTTTCAGCGGCCTGAAGCTGCAGGTACACGGGGGAGGAGGACCAGGAGTATGGGAAGGTTGGAAGACCAGGGGTAGGGGCGGGTAAAGGAAGGTCTCCCTTCCAGAATGCAGGGACGTCAGGGCACAGAATGACAAGACCAGCAAGTCAGCACAGACGGACCACCGTGAGTTCTGCCTTCACTCATCAGTGTTTATTAAACTCCTGCGCCCTGCGAGGCACTAGGTTATGACTGTGAGTGGGTTGGGCACGTTCTCCTGGGGAAGCCGGAAGTACGCAGGTGAGTAGCTACATAAAATAATGGCAGACTGGCATAAGCGCAGTGCAGGAAACAAATGTAGTATGATACAGAGAGAGATGGGGGATATATGTCATAGTTCTCAAGGTGGCTTCTTGGGGGAGGTGGCATTTAAGCCGTGATATGAAAGATGAGAAGGATTTGACCAGAGGATAGGAAGGAGCGGGGAGAGAAAGAGCAGAGAGAGAGGGCGAGCACTCACCAGAGGAGCATTCTGGGAGAAGGGGATGCAGGAGGAAAGCCCCTGTGTCCCTGCCCAAGAGAGAATCAGAAAGACCAGAAAGGTGGTGGGAGGTGGGGACCAGCCAGGTCATGCAGGAGAATGTCAGTGGTCCACGAGGACAAGGAACTTGGGTTTTATCCTCAGCCCAGTAAGAAGCCCTCAGAGGGTTCTGTTTTGTGTCTTTTGCTAATAAATCTTTTCTTTCAGAAGAGTTTTAGGTGCACAGAAGAGTTGCAACATGATAGACCACACACCCAGTGTCTCTGGCTGTTAACATCTTAGGTAAATGTGATCCATTTGTCACAACTAAGGGACCACTACAGACACATGATCATTAACTAAAGTCTATACTTTATTCAGATTTCCTAAATTTTTGCCCAATGTCCTTTTTCTGTCCATGGATTCCATTTCTATCCTTGGATTCCATCCAAGATACCACATTCCTTTTAGAGGTCCTATCTCCCGAGGCTCCTCTTGGTGGTGATGGTTTCCCAGACTTTCCTTGTTTTTGATGATCTTGACAGTTTTGAGGAGTCCTGGTCAGGTATTATGTAGACTGTCCTTCAGTTTGGTTTTGGCTAATGTTTTTTCTCATGGGTTATGAGTTACTCGACTGTGATTCTGGGAGAAAGACCATGGAAGAACATTGCACCTCTCATCACATCGTAACAAGGGTACATGACTTATCAACTGTTAGCTTCGACCTTGACCCCCTGGCTGAGGCAGCATTTGTCACTCTCTCTGCAGTAACATGACCCTCTTTTCCCTCCTCCCATGTTCTGTCCTTTAGAAAGAGTCTCCATGTGCTGCCCACCCTTAAGGGACAGGAAGCTCTGCTCTGTTCTTGATGGGGGAGTATCTTCAAAAATTATTTGGAATTCTTCTGTACAGGAGATTTGTCTCTTCTGCCCCATCTATCTGAATAATTATCCAAAAAATTATCTGTCGATGTCAGTATAGACTCACGATACGGACGTTGTACTTTGGGTTATAGTCCAAAACTATATTGTTTCTTTTGTTGCCTAAATTATTCCAGCTTTAGCCACTAGGACCTCCTTCAGTTGACTCCTGTGTCCTTTTGAGACATAGCGCCATCATTTTGTTTCTTGAGCACTTCATTATTCTCTGGCACTGCAAGGCGCTCCAGGCTCATCTGTACATTCCCTGCCCAGTCCTAGAACCCATCATTTCTCTAAGGAGCCCTAGCTCCTTTTATTAGAGAACAGTATTCAGAACCGAGATCTGGGCTGCGGGTCTGCAGAGGTGTTTAAGCACAAGGGTGGCATTAACTGATTTCAGTTTTCAAGATGTCCTTCTGGCTGCTGTGGGGGGAACATACCGGTGGGAAGCCGGAGAGGAATCAGGGATACCAGCTAGGAGGGTGTTGTGGTTATTCAGGTGAGAGGTGTGGGTACCCACTTTGACACTCGGAGTTCACATAAAATTATTTTAAAATTGAAGACATCTGAGATTAACAGAGGCAGAAAAAGCCTTCTTAGAGCTTTCTTTATCTCACTAAAAGCAGAAACTTCTGGGAGTGAAACTGTCATAAATTCCATCCTCTGGGGGAGCTTTATGGCCATGGAAAAGATGGAAAGGACCACTCACATCTGCATAAACAAACATTATCACAAATTTCCTCATCTCCTGTTTGTTCCCTTAGAAACCCATTTGTTTTTTTCCCATGGAAGCCTCTTCTCTCCCTTCTCTTTCCAAAACTTCAGCCACTTAGCGAATCACTTTTTCTGGAAGCTCCTGTATTACACATGAAAAATTTTAGGTTTTTTTCTCTTTTGTTAATCTGTTTTTTGTCCATTTAATTTGCATGCCCCCAGGTACTAAGACTAAGAGGTCTTTCTACCCTGACAGAGGCAACAGGCCTGAGCAACACAAGGACACAAGGTCAGCTAGAGACGAGTTCTTGCTGTGGCAATCAACCCACCAGATTATCCCTCTGTCCAGCGCTCTTCGGCCCCCCCACTCAGCCTTCCTCCATCCCTTGACCCCTCCAATACACAATTCCCTTTCTCTCCACTTAACCCTGAATTGATTTCTGTTGCTTACGACCAGGAATCCTAACCAAAACAGTTTAGCAACCTCACCATTGACCTCAATGGTGGAGTCCCGAAAGACAGGGTCTGAGCCTCCTTCACTTCATCTCCCCTGCCTCCCAACTTTAGCACGGAGCCCAGCACATGGGCCATGCTCAGGAAATGTGCGTTGAGCTGGATTTGTGCTATTCAGTGAACACAGTCATTGGCTGTGCAATGGAGCACCCTCAAGCCAGCTGCCGGGGGGGCACCTTGGTAACCCACTTAAGGAAATAAACTGTTGGCAAGTTCTTTCCCCACATTCATTTGCATGGAAACAATTAGTGTGCTAATTAAAATTGAGTCTTATCTGTTCCTTTAAGTAAAGCCCAGCAGGACCTCCAGTTGGCAAGATTTTTTTGGCAGAACGTTTGAGGTTCTCCAGTAGTAGAAAGGAAGGCATTTTCACTTCCCATCAAATATTTAATAATCAGGTGGCTGCTGGATTTGGCTGACCCTCCCTTCAATGGGCCTGCATGAGTGAGGTTGGTGGACAACCTATATCCCAACTCAAATGAGTGAAGATTTGTAACCCTTCTCCCAGCCTAGCCAGGCGGCAGTTGCCTTGCTCCATAAAGGAAGAGTTTGTTGCCCAAATTAATAGCATAAACAAGATTCCAGAAGGGACTGTTTAACCTACTTAAGAGAACACACTATTTTCAAGCAATTAATACCGTTTGCACACAATGAATGAGCTAATTGCAGATAAGCCTTATTTCTGCCTTGAAGAAGGATCCGGTAGGACCAGTACTTGGCAACACTTTGCCAACGGTTAGTTAGTATCACCACATGTTCTGAAAGGAATAATGTCACAATTCCCTGAAAGCAATCCCCTAGATTCAGATTTCTAAGTAATTCTCACTAGGCCTTAATGCCAGCATCTATAAAGTGGGGGTAATACCCATCTCATAGAGCTGTTGTGAGTTAATGAATGCATTCATGCCCATAAATGGCGGCTAAATCCACTCTGGCCTTCCCCCACATTTGTTCAAATGAGGAGACAGATTCTGGGCTCAGCTGCTGATGGGGGCTACCAGGCAGCCCACCAAGGCTGAGCTAGCAGCCACTGTCATAAAGAAGAGCAACCAGCCTTCGCCTGGGCTCTGCTACCAACTAGCTGGACAACCTGAAGCTACCCTTCTCTCCTTCGAGCAAATGAACTGGGTGTTAGTTGTGTGGTTTTAAACTCTTCTTAAAAATAAATTTCTTTGCTGGGGCGCCTGGGTGGCTCAGTCATTGAGAGTCTGCCTTCAGCTCAGGTCATGATCCCAGGGTCCTGGGATCAAGCCCCGCATCGGGAGCCCGCTTCTCCCTCTCCCACTCCCCCTGCTTGTGTACCCTCTCTTGCTGTCTCTCTCTCTGTCAAATAAATAAATAAAATCTTAAAATAAATAAATAAATAAATAAATAAATTTCTTTGCTTACTTCGATTCCGTTCGGGAGGAAGAAGTTTTCCCCCAGCTTCTTCAGGGTGTGTCGGGACCCTGCAAATTAAACTAACAAAAGGTATATTAGCTGGAGAAAGAGAACAGAATTGTTACTAATAGATACATGCTGGGAGTTCACAGAACAGAACAGAAAATCAAAGAAGCACTTAGACTCAGGGGCTTATATATCCTTTTAACAAAGGAAAACGGGCTTGGGCTTCAAAGGACAATAAACTGTGGGTAAGTGACTCGGACATACACGGGAGGAGCTAACCGAAGATAAGGGCTATCTTAATAAGGTCTGTTTATGCATATTGATCTCGGTGTCCATTGCCAGTGTTCGATGATAAGAGTTGCTCTTCTCTCCCTGGTACTTGAGGTGAGAGGGGTGGAGGGCAGAGGCCACCTTCCTCACAGGGAAATTTCTGTCCTGGTTTCAGGCAGGTAAGGGGAGGGCAGAAAACTCTTCCTGCATCTGTGGGTTCTCAGCTGCCTTCAGCTCAAAATAATCCTTACACAAAGTGGCATGTTTGGGGGTGACATATTCCGACCCTCTTCAAGGCCACGGAATCACCACAGGTGTAGCCGAGTTTTACTGAGCTGAGAAGATCCAGTCCAGAGAGTCCTCCAGCTGAGCCTCTCTCTCTCATCCGTGGAGTGAAATGTGACCCCAGATGGAAAACACTCCTCTCCTCTGTCTTCACAAATACCAACACTGATAACTTTTTAGCAGAATTCGTTATTACAATGAACATTCTAATATTCCATCATCTGTTCTCCATTTATTAATTGGCTTTCTCCTGTAAGGCCTTTCTCTTCTCCTCAGTAATTTATTTATTCATTTATTTTTATCAGTATAGACTCAGGGATTCCTATTTTAGTCAATGCATTTTCATCTACTACTGCCATCATTTATTTTGATACTCAAACTGCCCCAGATCTGGCCAGTGGTGGCCCTTTCAAGCTAGCTTCTGTGTCCTTTTTGACATTTTCTCCTCATATTTGGAGCACGTCCTTACTTTTCTAGCACAAAAGGATGCTCTAGCTCATCTTGCACTTTCTCAGCCCCAGCTTTGAAACCAGACATTTCTCCAAGGAGTCCTTATTCCTTTTAGCAGAGAAAGGCATTTTGAAACCAAGATCTGGGTGCTAGTTGCTTTTGGGGTGTTGGAGCTGCCAGGTCCTCAGTGACCACATGCATCTAATTCTTTCTATATTTATCTATCTATCTCTATGTGTTGAAAACACAAGTTACACTGACCCTTCCAGTTCTAATCCAACACCAGAGAGTCTATTCTAGCTTTTCTCCCTTTCCATATTTATAACCCTTCAGACAATGAGAAACTTCCCATTATCCTCAATATATTTAATTACTGGGACAATTCCCCTGTCCACAACAATCTCCCACTACCACTGGTGCTCATGCATGTAGTCACTCCTGTCATCCTGCCAGGGCACTGTTACCCCAGGTTAAGCCCCCACGACCCCCTCCCCCAGGCAAACACCTTCCTCTCTGCTCAGGCTCCGACACCTCCCACCAGCTGCCAGACCATGAACCCCTCTCCCCCTTGCAGACATCTACCTTGTCTGTGCCATCCTGATGGCTTTTGGACTACATCATTCAAAAAGGCCGATAGGAAAGAAGGAAGCTGCGAACTGGAATTCTAATTCTGACAATGCATTCTGCCCTAAGTTGGATTCTTTAGAAGTAGTGCCTGCGAGCAGAATGTATATGTATGTGAGTTATTAAGGAGGTGTCTCAGGGGAAATTAGCGAGAGGGTAAGGGACGCAGGAGGGAAGAAAGACAAAGAGCCACACAAGAGAAGGGGAAGGTGCAGCTGGATCCATTCACAGAAGCAGCACGCGACCTGGGGGTGGGCAACCTCATCGCAAAAGGGGATCTGGATCAGGCGCCAACAGCCTCTGCTACATGTCCATTTCCTCTTATTCTGAAGAGACTTCCATTCTGCACACACTAGGCTTGTGTGTCCGGGGTTAACAGAGTTTTCTCTAAAGGGGCAGATCATAAACATGTTAGGCTTTGGAGGCCATATGGTTTCAATCACAACTACTTACCTCTGTTCTTGTAGCTCTCAGGTGGGCATGGACAGTAGGTAGGTGAACGGATGCAGTTGTGTCCCTACAAAACTTTATCTAGGAAAGTAGGTAGAGGCCCATATTTGGCCCACGGGACATAGTGTATGAATCTCTACAGCCTCTCCCCCAGGCTGTGAGTCCAAGCAAATCCAGGTACTTTGTGGTGACCAGTTGATGAATGCTCTTTCTAAAACACCAAGGTTACCTTATTCCGGCCCTTCCCATTGTTTTTCAAGGCCTAAGCAGGACCATCAAACAGAAAGTGACTTGGGGAAATGAAATCAAGAGTTCTAAATTTTCTCCCAGTTTGGGATCTGGAACCGGGTTAAGGGGCAAACTCTTTAAGGGGCCTGAACTTACTGGAATAGGAAGATGATGGAGAAAATTAAACTGAGTGGCTTACGAAGGTGACAACATTGTATGCAAAAGAACACATTGGCGCCCTGCCTCACACCATATACAAAATCTGACTCAAAGGGATCAAAGACTTAAATTTAAGAGCTAAAACTATTAAAATCTCCTAAGAAAACATAGGTGTGAATCTTTGTAACCTTAGAGTAAGCAATGGTTCCCTATATGTGACACCTAAAACACAAGCACTCAAAGGGAAAAAATGATAAATTAGACTTCATCATAACCTGATACTTTTTGTGTTAAGTGACACTATAATGGTTAACTTTATGTGTCAATATGGCTAGGTTATGGTATCCAGTTATCCGGTATCCAGCAAACACTGGCCTAGATGTTGTTGTGAAGCTATTTTGTAGATGTACTTAACATCTATAGTTAGTTGACTGTAAGTAAAGGACATTACCTTCCACAGTGTAGGTGAGCCTCATTCAATCAGTTGAAAGCTGTAAGAGAAAAAGCTGAGGTTTCTGGGAAAGAAGAAATTCTGCCCCAAGAATACATCATCAATTCTCTCTGAGCTCCCAGCTTGCAGCCCACCCTGTGAATGTCAGACCTGCCAGCCCCCACATTTGTGTGAACCAATTTCTTAAAATATGTCTCTTTTTTATTGCTTGTATTTCTCTGGAGAACCCTGACACAGACACTCTCAGGACAGTGAAGAGACAATCGGCAGAATGGGACCAAATCATATATCTGATTAGGGTCTAGGATCCAGAATATGTAAATAACTCTTATAACTCAATAAGAAAAAGACAACCCAATTAAAAATGGGCTTGGACAAACATTTCTCCAAAGATAGGCAAATGAACCACAAGCACATGAAATGATTCTTGGCATAATTAGTCATCAGGGGAATGTGTATTCTTTTTGGAAAAGTTCATTGAGCTTCTTGGATCAGTGGGTTTCTAGTTCTCATCAAATTTGAAAGCTTTTGGCTATATTTCTTTAAGTTTTTTGCACCCTCTTCCCCTCCTCCTGAGCCTCATATGTTAGGTCACTTGTCCTATATAGGTCATTAGTTCTTGATTCTTTCCTCTTCGGTCTTTTTCTCTGTGTACTTCGTTATAAATAGTTTCAAGTGCTTTGTTTTCACAGTCACTAAACTTTTCTTCTGTAATCTAACCTGCTTTTAATCCCATTTAGTGTTATTTTTCGTTTCAGATACCTTAAGGCTCACCTCCCTGATTTCCTTTCTCTTGAGGCGATCTGTGCTGTTTCTAGTACCTGAGAAAACATGGTTGCATGAATTTTGTTGGATTTTCTAGCCGTTTCAGGTGAGAAGGGTTAGGGACTCTGGTCCCTACTTCCTCGTTATGGCCAGAAGCAGAATACTAGCATGTTTTAAAACCACCACAGTAAGCTATTTAGGTTGGCAAATAAGGACCCAAGAAACAGATACAAATGAGCTGGCCGCTAACCAACTACAAGGGGGTGAGTTCTGCTCACTGCTGAGTCTTGCTTTGTTGAATGGGATGTGCCATTTTGAGGCCCTGAGCAGATTGCTCAGAACAAAGACCGAGTGCCACCATCAGGATTCTTCCTCTGCCTGCCTCCAGAGTTCAAATTCTCTTTGAAAGAAAGATTGGACAGTTACAGAAATAATTGCTTTTAAAGGGTCACAGAACTATTAGCCTCCCCAGGACATGCCCACGTCTCTATCTGATCTGTTAGAATAATAGGATTCGGGGAAATCCTGGTTTCTAGGCAATCTGAAATGACAGTTCTCATTTGGCAATCTTTCATGTATGCCAATCTGATCGTGTCACCAGTAACTGTAGCTATTCTCCGGGTATGGTTCAAGCTTCTGAATGGCCTTCAGGGAACACCCCTGGAGATCTGGCATGCCTTTGGCTCCAGCCACACCAAACCTCCCTATACCCTCTCACCTACCACCAGTCCTGTTTGAGCAGTGTCTGCTTACATGGCTTCTTCCTCATTCGGAGGAATTCCCCTTTATAGAGCTCTCCCAAATGAAAGTAACAATGCCTACTTCCATGTCATTAAAATAAGGGGATTATGGAGGGAAGATCAGATTTAACAAGGATGCTGCTGCAAGAGGGACCGAGCACATTCACAGCTAAGGCATTCTGGATCCACTGACCTGGCCTTGTGGGGCGTGCCCCCTGCCATTGCCTTGAGTTGAGCCAGGCTGCCTGGATCCTTGACCCTAAAATCTTACCAGAAGATAGATCAGAAGTTAAGTCTCAGCCAGATAAGGATAATATGAGCCTTGCTCCTTCAGACACTTAACCCTTAACTCCTAAAATAATCAGTACAGTACAGGAGAAGTCAGAGAAAACCTGGATTTAAATCTTGACTCCCGTATTCACCAGCTTTGTGACTTCAGGTGAGTTCTCTCTCTCTCTCTCATTCTCTCTCTCAGCCTTGGAGATGTGCCTTGAACATAAATGAAGATGACTTTAGCCCCCTCGCAAGGTTGTTGTAAGATTAAATGAGACAGTGGGTGTGAAGCACTCAGCCCAGTGTCTGGCACATAAAAACCACTTACTGAATATTAGCTGTTGTAGAAAGGAGAACAGTCAGTCCACACTGGTCACAAGGCTGTGGGGCTTTATTGCTGATGTGTCCAAGCTCCTGTCACCAGATAAGACCTCAGCGGGACCTCTGTCTTCAGCCTCTCAGCACGGTTTATATAAAAAGACAAACAAATTCAAGTTTCTCTTGGGCAACTAGCACATGAATTAGTTCCTACATGGACTCTGCAATATGGAACACTTTCTCTGATTGAATAAGGGAAGGGAAACTCATCAGGCTGACTAGTGGGCTGGCTATTTCCTGCAAGCAACTCATGCAAACAAGGAGAGGGGGAAAATCTATATCTGAACTGACTTCTGTGTAGTGCAGCCAGCCGGCACATGGGCCAAATTTTCTGGGCTAGAAATAAAAAAGGAATGTTTTTTCTCTTGTCTGCAGGAAACAGCCTGCATTCCAGCCTGTGTATTTCACCAGGGTCAACACTGGATCCCACACTTTACTGGTTTGGGGGAGTCTTGATCCTAATTCCAAATCTTTTTCTCAACATTAAACACACTGTCTATGTGAATGAAGATTTATTTTATGGCTCCCTGTTGAGATGAGTATTTCAGCCAACAACTGCCCCTCACCATGGGCTAGTCTGGGTTTGTGGTAAGTCCCTCCTTCCCCAAAAGTCTGATTAGCAAGAAGGTAAATGATGTTAGGTACTGGTGGTTTCACAATTCCTGGCAAAAAAAAAAAAAAAAAAAAAAGAATGTTTGCCGTTGGTTCCTCCTTGTAGCCTTGGTTGGACCAAGAATAAAAAAGATTTTTGGAAGTTAGAGGTGGAAGAGTGAAGAGTGATCATTATTATCTCTCCCGTTGGCCAAGACATGTCCTAAATGATCAAGGGGCTGGTACACACATAAGCCTCTCTGCCATTTCTTCGGTCAGCTGTGCAACTGGCCCATTTGGGGCTGGTATGAGAACCACTGGTGACTGAGGTATGGATGTGCCTGGCAAAGGGCAAAGGCTTACCTGCTCAGAAGTAGAATCAGAAAGTCTAGAAAATGATGTCACGCTTCTGTATATGCTGTGTAGAGCTTTTATCTCATAGCCCCACTTTAAGAATTTGGTAAGGAAGACCCCTCTCAAAATCCTGGTAGCCAGTACCAGTTAGCATGGCTCCTGGACTTAGAGCTCGGCTTGAGGGTTGCATTGAGGAATTTGCAAACAGTTTGTTCACAAAGAGATCAGCTATCATGCCCCTGCCTTTGGTCCACACCACTCGTGCATAAATGGTACAAATTCACTTCCATATACACTGCCTAACAGCCTCCATATCTAGGGCTGGGTGGGCTGTGTTTGTGTGGGTGTGTGTATGTGTCTGTCTGTCTGTCTGTCTGTCTGGTAGGGGGTGAGGTACGGGGATAATAAATAAAATGTAGAGACCGTCCTCCAAAACTTATCTCTGGAAACCATGAGTTGTCTTTAAGATATCAAGGCTGAGACAACTAATAACCTGATATCAGATTCTTCCCTGGCATCCCCAGGGGGCTTAGTGCTAGCTTGTGGAAGCTTAGGAGACATGGAAGGAAGAAGAGACATAGTTTGGGGGACTGTTTGAGATATTGTCCCCACCTTCCACCTCCCCCCTCCACCTCTTTCCTATGTCACCCAGGTAACCAACACATCACCCACAACCCCCAAAGGTACAGCAACCAGTCAGCCGGAAGGTCAACGCTAATGAAAGATGCTATCTGGAAAACCAACGCCAAGCCAGGTTGACATAATTAACTGTATTAGTGGTCCTTGAGGTTTGGCAAGTGAGGGTGGGGTGAGAGGAGAGTTGGGAGGGGCGTCCTCTTCCGAAGCTTCTGGAACAGAGAGTCATTTGGATGGCTTCCAGTTAGCAATAGCATCTTTGCGAGTGGCTATCTAATTAGTGCCTGCCCAGTTTCCACGAGCTGGCTGCACATGGCAAATAAGCAGGGACGCTCGGGTTCCCTTAGCTCCAGCCCATGAACTCTCAGGATGTCGACAGCTTCAGACTCAGGCTTCATTGGCCTTATTCCAATGCCGGAGGGTGTTTTTCCCCAAAACAGTGCCATTTGCATCATGGCATTCGGAGTGCAGCTTAATAATGCTGTTGACATCCCAAATACCCCCAGAGCCACTTAAGAAGAGTCATTAGTTCTCTGAGGTTGATGGGGAAAGGAGAAACATGTACGCGACAACAAACGTCCCTTTTCTCTGGTTTTTCAGTTTCCGGTGAGCTGAGTTTACTTCTGTATGGTCTTGGGCAAGGAGATTAACCTGGGCTAGCCTTGAGTTCCTGTAAAAGAAGGTTAATAACACACACATCCTGAAGGATCGTTGCGAGAGTCTATGGCAGGGATGTAGCTCGATAGATGCTCAAGAAGCTGTAAGTGAGGATTAACACTGTGACATTAATAATGACATGCTGCTGCTGCTGATGATGATGATGAAGGGGATGATGGCGGTAATGAGGAAGATGACAGTAACGCTACTGACTTTCCCCTCCGTGATCTTGTTTCCCAGACGTAACACAAAGAGGGGCTGTTGGTTGATGCTACCATGCACTGGAGTTCACTGTACAGTGAGGCATACTAACAATAATTACCACGTGTAAAGAACACCTTTTCAAAGTACTTTCACATGTATTATCTTGCTTGGACCATTCCATTGCTCGGTGAGGAAGTTACTGTTATTGCCCTCAGTTTGCAGATGGAAAAAAAAAATGAGACTCCAAAGATTAAGAACCTTGCCTGAGGTCCTACATTCAGTAAGTAAAATAGCCAGTTCTTGAACATAAGCCTTGAAACCACCAATCTGATAGTCTTCCTGTGGCACGCATATTGCTTTGCAAGCATTTCAGGGAGTATGGAGAGAAGCTTAGCACATTGATTGAGGTCCCAGCACATGGGCTTTATCAATAAAGGAGC